TTGATTGTGTTCGACTTTAATATAGTCGCCTATGGATGCATAATCATGTATTAATATTCGTACATGATTGAATTTCAGTAGAAGTAGATTCATATTACTTTTGCGATAAATAAGCCCTAAATAAAATAGATCGATCTTCAGTCGTTGTATCCATTAAAATTTGAAAAATATACTTATCGTTTACTCGCTACTAGTTATTCTCTTCGAGGTTAAGTAGTATGAGAAAAGAAACACTTATATATGGTGTTTTATTGATGAATTTATTTTCAGTGGCAATATAATCAACATAATAAATCGCGGTTCACAATCAATAAAAGTTGGTTTCTTTAAAAATTTGGGCTCATATCAACCATCATTCGTGGCAGAAAAAGTTGTTACTATTCTACCAGGTGCAACTGTAACTGTTTCATTAGCAAATGGATGGGAAGGTCGTTTACAGAAATTGACCGGGGCACCGGCTGATCCTGCAACATGGGCTGAAATTCATTTCAACGCTTGGCAAGATATGACATTTTGTGACATTAGCCTAATTCGAGGATTTAACGGAGCCATGGTTTTCTCCAGTGTAGATGGAAGTCTTCGAACAGGTTTTACAAATGATTTGAGACCAGGAGCACCATATAAGTTCAAAGTTAAAGATTCGAATGGTTATGATGTTCTTCAACCCACTGAACCCTTCACAGGTGGAAGAAATGATGAATTAGTTGCGTACTATCGCGGACAAGTATCACAAGGAAATGCTTATATTATTCCCGATGATCATGCTAGTTCACATGGCACAACTGACAAACGAATGAATTTGGAAATATACTAAAAAAACAGTCTTTTGTTTCTTTTTCTTAATATAAAAATACAACTTAATCGTTGATATCTAATGTACAACTAAAAGGCAATTTGTCATGATTTTCCTAAGTAAAGAGAGAACTTCTCGAGATATTAAAACCTCAGATTTGACAAGAGACTTTGTGGTTTGAATAGGTGCTCACGACCAAAAACATAGTTAGAGTGTGGTTGACTGACTGACTGACTGTCTGAATAAATGAAAAGAAGGCCCACACTCTCGAATATCTCTAACCATGTGAGTTCAATCAAAGGATAGAAAATTTCAAAGAATCATACTAATATTTCTAAATATTCAAAATCTAATAAAAATTGTGTGGTTGCAGACATTCGACACGAGACTTACTCAAAATATTACTAACAAAAACTATTTTGTCTCAGAAAACTAATGAATACAATCTCATTGAATGCCATGATTTGAAATATATCGATCATATGATGTTAATCAGAAGCTACCGATCGAGAGGTGACTAAAAGTAGCAAAAATAAAAAAGCAATACTCTAGCCTTTCTCTTTCATTAATCTTTGCTTTTTATAAGAAATCTCGAAGGTTAGTAGAATAAAAAACCAAGAAACTATTTATTTTTGGATAACGGGTGTGAATGGGTCTCAACAGAATCAGAAGATACGCACATCCACATTGGCACTCCATAGTCACACTCACAACCAGATCCGAGCTGTTTTCTTTATTTCCTTTATCATTGCTGCAAACGATGACTGGTGATGAGGCCATTTTCAATTCGAAAGGATGTCGGTATAGGTGTTGGGTAGTCTGGGTGTGGATGTTGGTGGGATGAATAGAAGGTCCTACGCACCCACATCCATACCTTTAACATCTATACCCACACCATCGGAAAAACTTTAGTAAAGACATCGGTAAAAGTTTTCGTAAATTAATATTTTAATTATATAATAGATCATTTGATCGATTCAAATATACGAAATCTTTTCAAAAAATTATAGAATTTAGTTTACTTGATGATGAGATATATTCTAAATGAAGACAAAATACACGAAGATTTATTAAATGAGTCTATTGTAAAATTATCGTTAATTGATCTTTAACATAAATAGTGAGATGAAATATGAGAAATAAGAGATATATTCAAAATTATTAAAAAAATAAAGAATAGCAA